TGCCTCTTAGCCTGCGGCTAACGCTATCTGGAGCATTGTAACATCCTTCTAGAGTCAGACCAACTTCAACACTCTGTTCTGACAGACTCATCCCTCTGCAGAGAAACAACCTGCAAAAACTGTACAAGAAGCACGAACAAATCAGGACACGAGCTGCTCTCACAGCTGATAACAGCCACGCTAACGGCTAGCGGCTGAGTTAGGAGGCAGCCACGGATTAAACTGAAACAGGACGAGGAAAACAAGAATTAACAATGCTTTGAGATCTGGATCTTAGTGGGAAATAAAACAGTGAAGAACAGCAGATAGAAGTGCAGGAGACAGACTGCTATTGATCTCAATCGATTGATCTGATGCTCAGACGTCATCACTGCTATTCCTGTTGTACATATTCAGTCATAGTGATCCTTATTATTGAAGAAGCCGAGTGATGAATGTTAATAGAAAACTTCCACAGTATGTGTCTTCCAGTTATCCTGTTATATTTTTATCAAGTAGTTCATATTAAACTCTTCTACATGTTTGGTTTTATTGCGACCTGCAGCTACGTGTGGCGCAGAACACGTCACGAGTTCACTTCTGCTTTATCAGTTTCTCTGCTAATGAGCTCAAAGATGAGACTTTTCATGCTCGTGCCCACTTTATTTTTTTCATATTTCAACTCACCCATAATTGTTTGATCTACTAGTTAAATATTACAGATTCTGAATCAACAACATGATAAATAACAGTAAAAATAAAAATAATCAGGTTTTAATCTTTAATAGTTCCTCAGATGTTGTTGTTCAAACAAAAACCTGCTGAAAGTGGGTCAACAGGACGTATTTAACATGATAATCTAAAGAGAGCATTTTAAATATCCAGAGTTTATGATAAAAATATATTTAAAGCAAATCAGAGCTGGCTGAGCAGAAGGCCTCTGCTGACTGGAGGTGAGGAACCTGTGTGTAGTAGTTTATCCTGGACGTCTTCTTTCATGTCTAAGCCCCACCGGAGGATCTTTTGAGGAGCTTCTTCTGATCTGAATCTAAAAACTGACCAGGCTGGAAACAGAAAGGCTGATGGGAGGTCAGAGGTCACGGCCTGCAGCTGGTCAGCATCTCTCGCTGCTTCGTTCTCGCTCTAATGGCAACACATTCAGATGTGGCATCAATATTTTACAGCTCAGATCCTTTCAACCAGCCTGAACCATAAAACCCATCCGCTGTAGCTTCCTGAGCTTCCTCATCACTGCTGTGGATCTAGACCTGACCTTAGATCACAGCTGAACCTGCTGAGAAACAAACCGAGAGGGTTCTAGCACTCACTGGACTTCTCCAGACGAACCTCTTCTCTTACATATGGGTCGGACCGGCGATGAAACGAGACTCGTTTCGTGTCTTTTTCTGCTTCGATGGTCCCAGAAAGCGAGCAGAGGACCACAGTGGAACTCTGGAGCTCCTCAGGGTGTTTGTGTCTGTTTCCACCTCGTCTAAATCGGCGTGAAGATTATTCAAATTAGACCAATAACGGATTAAAAAGCTGTGTGTGGTGTGAGACGGGATTTCTCAACAACAGTCATCTCGGTGTTTCTCTCTGATCTGACTGTGAGGTTGCAATGAAAATAAAAAGCAGGAGGAGACAGTTCGACGTTCAGGACAACCAGAATCTGAATTCTGACGTACAGAGACGGAAATAAAAGACGCCGTCAACGACGAAGACATTTAAATAAAAACAATCAAAGGTTTAGGGTTTCATTCACGACAGGAATCTGACACTATTCGACAAATTAAACATGAATACAGCTCAACGACAACACGAGGATCAGAGTCACACCTCAGATCAATACATCGATATCGCTGCTGATTGATGCTTTCACGGACACTTCATGGTCTCAGTTTTCCTCGTCCAAAGACTCTGAGCCGGTCAGAACTCTAATAAATCAGCTTTTCACTATCATGTGTCCAGTTTAAAAGTCACAGAGCTCAGCTTAGACGACAAAAAGATGGAAGAAGACCAACCGAGAAACGCAAAACAACGGCAAAGACACACATTTACCGCAAAATGACTCAAACAGACCACAAAGAAACGCAGAACACCCACAAAGAGTCGCAAAATGATCACTAAAAGACAAAACAGCCACAAAGAGACACAAAACAGCCACAAAGAGATGCAAGAACAACCTGAGACAGACAGAAATAAACAAGACACAGAACGACCACAAAGCGACAGACAGCTGACCAAACCGCCCAGAAACTTGAATTATGTTGTGTTTCTGTCAGTGTGAGGGTCTGACACAGAGCTGTGGTTCAGATGATCAGTGTTCATCATCTCTTCATGACTGGAATCAGCAGATCACTGACGGATGGAGGAGGATCCTACAAACATACTAATATTTTCTAATCATTTTTTCTGCCTGATGTGCCTGAAAACAGCCTGATGAATAAACCAGAACCGTGAAACCCACGACAAAGACTCCACAGCTCACCGACTCCTCCCACAGCAAACATTCACACCTTCACGCGTTCATTCTGGTTCATACGTTCAGCTCTTATCAGGAGCTCCAACCGAGTCATGCTGAAGGCATCCGGCATCGCAGTGCAACAAGTCCGAGCAGAGCTGAGCCTCAGCGTGAAGGCTGTCATTACCGACAGGACTGTCCCACATTTCAACACCGGGTTCAGCACCGCGCTCCACATACAGTCAGACAGAACACACCTAAAGTCAGACAGAACACACCTACAGTCAGACATAACACACCTACAGTCAGACAGAACCAACAGAACAAACCTACAGAATACACCTACAGTCAGACATAACACACCTACAGTCAGACAGAACACACCTACAGTCAGACAGAACAAACCTACAGTCTGAGGAAGTTCTGAAGAACAAAAGACACTCAAATGTTCCTAAACGGGTTTTTTTTCCCGCGGTTGAAGTCACAATCAGCACAATCTTGTCACACCAAAGTTTTTCCGTCATGTACAAGTCTGGTAAATCGATGACTCAGCGGGTTGTAAATGTTTTCACAATAAACAGAACATCTCAGAGGAGCTCTGGACTTCTGAAGACGACACTTTGGACGACTACTTTAAAGACAAACTGATCAAACTTCTGAACCCCAAAACCCCCCAGTGGGCTTAAAATTCATGTAAACAATCAGCAGAATCCAACAGCCTATCAGCCAGAAGCCGCAAAAACAAAGAATCACTGAAAATTAAACTTTCTGACGCGTCCTTGAACTGCTCATCTGTAACGTGAGGCTCTTCTGCCAAAACCTAAAAATGTAGGTTTTCAGGTGAACTGCAGGCAGTGTTTCCTCAGAGAGACTGACAGGAAAATAACTACTGGATCAGTGAATAAATAAAAAACAGTAAAGAGAGGAGCAGGTTGTTGGAAATACATCCAGCATGGTGGAACATCTTTCCACATCTGATGGTGGAACATCTTTCTACAGCTGATGGAGGATCATCTTTCTACATCTGATGAGCAGAGCAGAGAGGAGACATCTGGAGACGTGGAGATTGGTCAACATTGTGTCATTCTAACTGTGTTCTACTGACAGAACACGACTCTGAGGTCTCTCTCCTTCTTCATGTTGTTCTTGTTCCACAGAGCTGCAGGACTTCATGTTGCAGAGAAACATGAACAACTGTTTGTATAGTAAACAGCTGAATACTAGCTGATAACGACAACAACCAGACTGTTCTGACTGGCTCACTCCTGGTTTTACATGTCAAGTCACATCAGAAGTTCAGGACTTTTCCATTCATAAAGGTCTATCACATGAGCTGGAGGCTGACGTAGGTCAGGTGGTCCGCCAGGTTTATTGGAAGGTAATATCCAATAAATTCATGTTTTCTGTATTGTAGGGATGGTGAAGGTTCTCTCAACATGAGTGTTGTATCAGAAAAGTCAACCTGTCAGTCTGAAATACAAAACAGAACCTTCATACTGGTATATTTTCAGTATTGGTACCGGCCACAACAAACAGAAGGTTGTCTTTTATCCTGAAGCGTCACATCGGCATCTCTGTGGGAAAATAAATGACCTGGAAAAAGTCAGTGTCAAAAGCCTAGAAACTAATTCAGCTAATATGCTGAATGCTGACACACCAAAGTGTTCAAAACATCTATATTAAGGCACCAAATATGAAAAACCTGAAGAATAACCCAGCAAAACGTCAGCAACTGGATAACAAGGCACCAAAGGGTCCAAAACCTGAGTATGAACGCAAAAATGTCAAGAAGCTGGATACTGATGAGTGATATTTACACAGCTGACAGAGAAGAACCTGGACATGAACGCACCAAAACGTCACACGTTTGGCTTCAAACACACAAGAAATGTTAAAATCTGGATATTACTTCATAAAGACCTGAATGTTAACAAGCCAGTTGATCTGCTGTTAAAGATCTCATGCCTCAGCTAATGTGTGTGACGCTAACCGCTAGCAGACTCTGGCTTCTACCTGGGAGACTTTTAAACACTTCTCCAAACAGTCTCTGGCTGAGCAGCGGGTCCCTCCGGCTCAGCTGTTGATTTAACGGTAACATCAGTTAGCAGCACCGCTAACTTAGCTTAGCGTGACGAGCCAAAATAGCTGAACGGGGATTAGTTAGCTGACAGTCAGCTGCACTCACTTCTCCTTTACCGGCTGACATCTGACCTCAGGGTCCGCAATAAAAAGTTCCAGCTGGATCACACGGCGGAGCGAATACATTAGCAACAACAGAGCTACACGGCTAAAGCTAGCTGCTAAGTTATCTCCTTACAGCGGGGTGAAGCTAACGGCTAGCTCCAGCTAACGGTAGCCAGCGCATTCCGCTATTCGTGACCCGTTAGCTTAGCCGCTTAGCCGGTCTGGTTCCAACAACCAGGTTAGCTGTTTATAGTTTAAAGTTAATTTTTAACTAGAACGTCGCATCAAATGCTACTACCGTCACGTTTCCTGGACCCGCTTGGCTACACACTGTTAGCACGGGCTAGCCGGATCGGCACTAAGCTAAGCGGCTAACCTGGAGCTCGGCCCTCTCCACCTCCCAGTGAGCCCTCTCCATCTCGAAGCGGGCCCACTCGTGCTGGATGTAGTGCAGGATGCCGGGGATGGTGTACTGCTGCTGCGGCCGGGGCAGCTCGTCGGGCTGGTGCGGCACCATGACTCCTCCTCCGCCGGCTCCGATCGGTGTGCTGCTCCCCGGCTGCGGCTGCTGCTGCTGCGGCGGAGGCTGCTGTCTCGGGGAGCCCGCTGCTCCTCCTCCTCCGCCGGGGAGCTCGTCCATGTTTTTTTTTTTTTTTTTTTTTTTTTTTTTTTAGAAAAGTAGAAGGAAAGTCTCCGGATCCAACGGTCCGCCGGACGATTCCCGCCCCCGAAGCCCGTGTCTCCGCTCCGTGGCTGTGGCGCTAGCTCCGCCGCGGTGTATGAGGCCGGCTGCCCCCGGAGCGCTGCGGTGAGTGCGGCTGAATGCGGACGGTGTTTGTGTGTGGAGCTAACCGGCCGCCATTACTGCTCTCTCTCTCCCCTGTCTGTCTGAGGGAGAAGCCAGCCGCGCTGCATGCCGGGAAGCATCCATCCTGCCGTCCACCAACATTATGTAGCGTTCATGCGCAGGGAACACGTCCGAAATCAGAACTACAACTCCATCACATCGTGTTCATTCTGGAAATCCATTTCCTTCTGTGAAAAAAGAATAATAATAAAAGTTCGTAACTACATGACTCACGTGGCGTCAAAGTTACCAGATAAATAAAATATCAGAATTTTTGTCTTGCACAGTCAATGTTAAATTACTAGATAAAAGTAAAACGTATATGACAAAAAGTCAAGTTAAGAAAAAAAAATATTACAAAAAAAGTCAAAACTTTGACATGAGTAAAACATTTTGACTTGTAAAGTCAGTATTCCGACATAAGAAGTCAAAAATGTGAAGGAAATGTCAAAATTATGGGATAGAAGCAAAATTTCCAGAATAAAATGTCAAAATTACGAATTAGGAAATTTAAATATTATTAGATTAATAGTCAAAACTGATGTATTAAGAAAAATCTTGACTTGCCAAGTCACTATTATCAGATACAAGAAAAGCTTAAATAATAAGTAAAAAAAAAAAAAGACAAGTTAGAAAGTAAAACTATGAGATAACATGTGAAGTAGTGGAATGATTAATAAAATGTTGACTTTCAAAGTAAAAGTACAACCTACCCGATAAAAAGTCAGAATTTTGACATAAATGCCAACATGTTGAAAGTCAGGATCATCAGAAACAAGTCAGACTTAGATGACAAAAAGTAAACGTCATCAAGTAAAAATACAAGACTAAAAAACACACACACAAAAGAACCCCTTTGACTTTTACTTACTTTTATAGGATTAAAGTCAATCCTTTAAGTCAGTTTTGACCATTTTTCGCTGAATGTTAAACGAAAAGGCAAAAAAATACAGTTAAATAAAATAAACTTAAACTTTATCTTGTGACTGTTTGTTTGCTGTGTTTTCTATTCGTGTGATCTGATTTCACTCAGTAATATTTATCTCCGTAATTTTGTTTTATTTTGTTCAATGAGCGTCTCAGTTTTTATCACGTAAAACTCTGACCTTGAACGCACCCGTGAGGGCCTTACTGCGCATGCGTGAGAGATGCTAACGGCTCGGCTAGCTGTTTATCATCAGAAACTGAAGCTTCTCGTTTCTTTATTTGTTGATCTTTTCAATTAATTCCGGCGTCACGGTAACGTCCAGACTGTGAACCGACAACAGCACGTCATGAGAACCGGATTAGAACCCGTTAACGGCGGCTCGTTTCGGTGTTTGTAGCCGGTTTGTTGGAGCTCATTTAGCCGCAGACAGAAGCTAACAGTCGCCGGTGAGTTAAACAGAGTTTGTTTGTTGTTTACCGGACACGTGGACGCGCTAAACTACCGTTAAAGCGCCGTTTTCATCGGTTAGACACCGGTAAAGTGAAACGTGTGTAGGTGTGATGCCTTCAGGTGCTCCTCGGACATTCTGCGGTTACAGCCGCAGTCACAGGTTCTGGGTGTTTTTATCTTCTGTCTCATGTTTCAACACAAAGACCTGCAGCTCTGTGGAACCAGAACCACATGAAGGAGGAGACAGAACTCAGAGATGTTTGGTTTGTTTACATTTCTGAAGAAAACACTTCCTGCAGCTCATGTGAGAGGTCTGTGATCACGTGACTGCTGGTGTCACATCAGTGGCTTCAGTGTTGGACAGAATCTGGCTTTTTTGAAACATAAGACGCGAGAATGAAGTGATTTTGATCAATTATTCTGATTTTAAACTCAGATTAGTTTCTGTTTGTTGATGGAACCAGGTGTCACAAATGAGTAGTTCAAGGACTGTTGGAAAGTTGATCCTTTAATCAGCTTTTAAAGAGTTTTCTTTGATAACTGACAGTTTTAATCATTCTACTGTGTAGTGGAGCAGCTGAAGACATAGTTCAGGTTCAAACATCTCCTCTGCCTGTTTCTGCAGCGATGATCAAGTTCGTGCTGATGGTGAACCGGCAGGGCCAGACCCGGCTGTCCCGGTACTACGAGTCGGTGGAGCTGAACCGGAGGGCGGCGCTGGAGGCCGACGTGGTCCGCTGCTGCCTGAGCCGCAAGAAGGACCAGGTACGGGCTGTTAGTGAACGCACCACCAGGTTTAAATTATACCAGCTGCTCCGTTAACGTCTGCAGGTACGGAGTGTCAGTAAACGCACCGCCAGGTTTAAATTATACCAGCAAATTATACCAACAAAAAGACACTAAACAACCACACAAAGACACAAAACAACCACAGAAAGACACGTGGTCTGCTGCTGCCTGAGCCGCAAGAAGGACCAGGTACCAAGTGTCAGTGAACGCACCACCAGGTTTAAATCTTTAAATCATCAAGCTGCTCCTTAACCCAACCTCTGTGCTTTCAGTGCTCCTTTGTCGAGTATAAAGACTTCAGGCTGGTGTATCGGCAGTACGCGGCCCTCTACATCGTGGTGGGAGTCACAGACAGCGAGGTGAGTCTGCAACCGATCGATCAAACAGCAACCGATCGATCAAACAGCAGCCGATCGATCAAACAGCAGCCGATCGATCAAACAGCAGCTCAGCGTTTGTGTCTCCTCCACAGAACGAACTGTCCATTTACGAGCTGGTTCACAACTTCGTGGAGGTTCTGGATAAATACTTCAGCCGTGTGGTGAGTTCAGGTGCAGCAGAAGCCAACAAATTCTATTTAAAACTTTTTTTATGTGATAAACAACCAAAATATCTCAAAATGTTCTCATTGTTTCTGGCTCCTAAGTGACCTGAGTTCTGCAGCTGCTTCAGTCAGAAAAGCTTTCTGTCGTTTCAGTAAAAGCGTTTATGAACCTGAAGCGAGAGGGTTCAGTTTAACATCAGGTTCAGCTGCTGATTACGAGTTCATTCATATCAGAGATTATTTCCAGGATTAATTAGTCAATAATTAACTGTTAGCTGGTTCTGGTTATATTTCTTTTTTTTTTTTTAAAAGCCAAAAAACAGTCTCACATCTGCAAATAAATGCTTTTGTTTGACCAAAAGTCTCAAACTGACGATGTTCAGTTCATCATCAGATCAGATTTGAGAAGCAGAAAGCTGAGAGTTAAAAAAAACTTAATGATCAGTCTTCCGTTAACGTACAAAATGAAGACAGGTTGTTGTCCAGCAGGAAGGTAGAACTGTTGTTTGTCGACTTGTGAATATTCGGTTTTAATCGTTGTGTGTCTGTTTGTGTCCCAACAGAGTGAACTGGACGTATCCTTTAATGCTCTGTTAGCAACATGCTAATGCTACATGTAGGGATGGAAGGAACACAAAGAGACACAAAACAACCACAAAGACACACAAAACCACCACAAAGAGACAAAAGAACTGAACTAATGCAACTTTGGAGTTAAACTTGAATAGAAAAGCTGCTTTGTTGTTGTTTGTTTGTTTTCTTGACACTGTGACATCATCAGATCATGTTCAACTTGGACCGGGTCCACGTCATCCTGGACGAGATGATCCAGAATGGACACATCGTGGAAACCAACAAGAGCCGCATCCTGGCGCCGCTCACCGCCATCGACAAGATGGCCGACGGCTGACGTCCACAGGAAGCGATGTCACAGACTGTGACGCATTGAATCGAACTCTGATCAATATATTGATCCATGTCTAAAAATGATCCAGCAGAAGTTCTGATGGGTGATTGTTTATTTCTGTGATTCTCAGTCATCTGTTAACGACAAAAACTGAACATCAGAACGGGTTTCGTTTCTTCTTCTGGTTTCTTCCTGTAAATAATTCTTCTCTGAATAACGTCGCCTTCAGAGCCGATTTGGATGTAAAGCCACAGAACCGTCAAAATAAAATGTCTGAAGAATAAAAGTTACCATAAAAAACAGAAGCGTTTGTAGAGTTCAGTGACCTTTGACCTCTGAAATCTCTTCAGTTGAGAAGTTCAGGAGCCGTCGACTGAAAATAACATCTGTGACGCTGATCAATAAAACGATCAAAAATATTTATATTAAATAATAAACTTGACCAAAAAAATACTAAAAATTACAAACAAAAACGTATCAGATGCCCAGATGACTTTTCAGTAAAAAAAATAAAAAATTCCCAGATTTGTCAAATTTAAGTTTCTACTGTAATAAAGGATGAAAAACAGAAATTAAACGTCTAAAAAGTACTTTAAAAGTATTAAAATAAAATGTCTAAATACCTGAACAGAACGAAATTGTCAAAAATCACACAAAAAAATAAAAATATGAAAATGGCCAAAGTTTATTCTGACATCAAATTATATTACCAAATTAAAAAAAATAAATAAAAAATCCAAAATATATTAGCAAAGTTTAAAATGTATACGACCATAAAACCAGAAGAACAGGATTCTCCAAAATGTCTGAAACTTTTTTTAAGTGTTAACAAAAATAAAGTGTCTGTTCTTCATGTGAAGACATTCTTACCTTCAAAATAAAAGTCCCTTCCTGTTAGAAACCCTGAACCGGTTCTTGTGACTCCCCTTCACAGACCACAGGACTCAGAGTTTACTTCATACTTTGCAAACATTTTAATGATTATTTTTTGGAGCATACACATTTGAAAATATCTGTTTACCTCAAACTGCAACTTGAGTTAAATAAATGTTTATAATATACAAAGAAAATACAGGGAGAGCAGAGCTTCGGACTTTTTATCTCGTTTTCTCTTCAGATGTGCCTCGCACACGACCAGTGTTTTTGTCTCTATAGCTTCATCGTAAAAGAAACAACAAACTCGCTGACCTTCGACCTCGACGGCGGCCAGAAAAAAAAAAAAAAACAACCGAAAACTGTCGCACGCACACGAAACGGAAAGCAATAAAAGAAGAACTAAAAACGAACAGAGGAAGAAGAAGCACGAGGAGGAAACAGAAGCTACGAGTCAAACCAGGCACTAACCAGACGAAGAGGAGGAGGAAGAGGAGGACACACACACACACACTCTCACACACACACACACACACACACACACAGCAGCCTGCAGCAGGAGGATGAGGAGGATGAAGCTGCTGCTGATGAAGATGAGGCTCCTCCTCCTCCTCCAGCGGCCGGTCCGTCCGTCCGTCTGTCTGTCTGTCCGTCGGCTGGTTTGATTGGCTGGCTGATCCGTCGATCTCGCGGCAGACGGACAGATGTTTTTGGAGCATGCTCAGTGTGGCGGCGGCGGCGGGCGGAGCTCAGTTCAGGTGAAAGCCTTTCTCCATGGTGGCGGCTAACAGTCGCTCCCTCATGATGTCCTCGGACGAGTACTCGGGCAGCTTCAGGTAGTGGACGCAGGTGTTCACCGATGGGTAGCTCGAGTCGGTGGCGTCCACCTGAGGGGGGGGGGGCAGCAGCCAATCAGATCACAGACACTCGTCACAGAGGCGCTCGGGGCCAATCAGAAAGCTGCTTACCTTGCGGACGATGGTGAGGCGGGGGTGCAGGTTGGCCAGGCCTCCGGGGGGCAGCGTGGAGCAGCCGGTGGTGAACTGCAGGAAGGCCTTCCTCTCGTCAGATGACATCCCGCAAAGCACCCGCACAAACCGCAGGAAGCCGGGGCTGGCAGACAGGAAGTGGAGAGTTCACGTCAGACACGACCCAGCTTTTATTTTGAAAGGCTACCACCAGGTGAGTGACGCCCTACCTGTCTCTGGTGTAACCGAGCTTTGGTTCGGTGTAGTTGATGATGTCATCAGCGGTCCAGGAAGGTGATTGGTTGCCACAGAGGATCATCTGGACCTCTTTGTGGCTGAAGGAGCTCAGCTTCTCCATCGGGAACACTCGGTTGAATCCCTCTGAGGACACGAAACACGAGTCATCATCCGAGTTATGATACAGGTCACGGAGCAGAAACGACTCAACGACACGAGTTAGAACGAGACAGAGAGTTCGGATGAAACCCGGATAAACGGACCTGAAGCAGCGCAACATGAAGACGTCGTTAGAAAATCACGTTTTAGATTCTCACAAAAGCAAAACAAATCTCAGAATTGAGAAGTAAACGACCTCATCGAGTCGAATGCTCAGAAACATGACAACGTTCATCTCATTAGACACAAACGTTTTGTTACAGAAACAAGAACATTTAGAAAACCATCAGAAAAACAAGAAACTCAGAAAATGTCTTAAAATCCAGAATGAACAAAGACCAAAACCAGGAAACGTGTCAGAACGGAACAAAGAAAATAATAAAGAAAGAAACAAAATCAGTCGGTTCATACTGAGACACATGATGAAACGAAAAAAGAGGTGAGTTCACGTTGTTGTGTTTTCAGTGTGTACTTATTGTTTGTAGTTATTGTGTGTTCAGTGTGCGTATGTGTGGTGCTGCGTCACCTCTGAAGGCCTCCATCTGCTTCTGGATGCCCGTGTGCATGCAGAAGTCGAACATGAGCTCCACGTACTCCTCAGCGTTCTCCATGGTCACCATCTGGAACAACAACAGCCTCAATCAGCTGATCTTCAACCTGACCCTGAACTCATCGTGACTGTCTCCTGCTGTTACCTCGTCGTCTCCGTTGGGCTTCAGGTCCACTGCAGAGAACCCGTGGACCTTGGAGGACGGACAGAACTGGAAGTTCAACCTGCAGACAGACAGACGGTTCAGTTAATCAGTTTGTGCTGAACATGGACAGAAACCATCTGCTCTCTGTCTGATCCAGTCTGTCATGTTGCCATGGAAACCAGCAGGTCTCCTCAGAGCTTTACCCGAGATCCTCGATGCTGAGCGGAGGTCCGGAGCCCAGCGGGTTCCTCAGCATCAGGTCCTGTAGTCGGGTGTTCTTCTCGTCCTCAGACAGACTCTTGCTGGACAGGATCTGGCGCCGCTTCACCGCCAGCTCCTTGACCTCCTTCAGGAAGCTCGCCCTGCAGGAGGAAGGTAACAAGGAAGGTAAGGAGGGAGGGAGGAAGGCAAGGAGGGAGGGAGGTAAGAAGGAAGGTAACGAGGGAGGAGGAGGGAGGTAAGGAAGAAGGGGGGTGAGGAGGGCGGAGGAAGGTAAGGAGAGAGGAGGAGGTGAGCAGGGAGGGAGGGAGGAAGGTGAGGAGGGAGGGAAGAGAGAGAGGGAGGTAAGGAGGTAAGGAGGGAGGAAGAGGAAACAAGGTGGTGAGTTTTCTGTTCAGGAGTTTCTTTTTTCCAGCAGCGACAGAAACATTGTCGTGTTTTCTGTCTGAGCTCCTGTTGAGGAGATAAACCCTGATCCAGATCAGAACCAGACTGACCTGTGCGGGTTGACCAGCTGGAAGTCGTCCCAGGTCAGGATGCCATGGTACCAGGCGGGCGGTTTGGGTTTGGGCGGGTCCATGATGAACTCGGACTTGGAGTCCTCGTCGAAGCTGCCCACTGAATAGGTCTCCTGGCTCTCCTCGGTGGACGCCTCCGACTGGACCTCGGACAGCAGCAGGAAGGGCTGCAGGTGGGTGCGGTCGGCGTCGTGGCCCTGCGGCGAGCTGCGCGACTGGTACAGCAGCTTGCTCATGTTGGACTTGATGTCGCCCATGCAGAGCAGCTTGAAGAAGGGCTGCGACACCGGCAGGTCCACCAGCCGGTTGTCCTGGATGCACTTGGCCAAGAAGACGCCGAGGAAGTGGAAGAGCTTGGTGATCCGCTCCAGCTCCTCACTGTCCTGAGGGAACGGCGCCGGGAACAGGCCGCAGGAGCGCTGCACGTAGAACCCTGGAGGCTTGAGGCCGCCGCCCAGGTCCACCTGGAACAGGAAACAGGACTGGGCTCAGGTGATGGGCTCAGGTCAGGAGTCACCTGCTCGTGGCAGCTGGTTATTTAATCCACTAAAATTAAATCTCTCATTCTTCTGCTCAAACATCTGATTGACTGAAAACTTTTTAGTCATAAACTGAATATTTGAAACGGTAACTCTGAAGTTTTAGCCTGACATATGAAACACTTTACAAGGTTTTTATTTGCTTTTTAAATTCCCTTCATCAAGTTCTGTTTTCATACATTGAAAGTCGATCCGACAACGAATCACAGAAGATGTTTTCTGGGTTATATTTGGTTCCACTTTAAAGCCCCAAACTGAACCAGAGCATCTACGGCTTTGATAAATGGACATTTATGAAGATTCCTGTGAGACTTTAGATGGAAAATATGTTCAATACTTTCTGAGATAAACCTTTTTTAAGGCAGAAGACAATAGGATGTGGCTGTGGCTCAGGTGGTAGAGCGAGTCGGTCGATGATCGGAAGGTCGGCGGTTCGATTCCGCCCTGTAACCCGTTTCATGGTCGTTGTGTCCTTAGGCAAGACACTTCACCCACCTTGCCTGGTGTGAATGCGTATGAATGGATTGTTTGAGGTGGTGGTCGGAGAGGCCGTAGGCGCAAAATGGCAGCCACGTCTCTGTCAGTTTGCCCCAGGGCAGCTGTGGCTACAATCGTAGCTACCACCAGAATGAATGTGTGTGAATGAATAATTGACAGTGTAAAGCGTCTTTGAGTGTCTAGAAAAGCCCTTTATAAATCTGATTAATTATTATTATTACTATTATTATAATCTTATATTTCAGGTTTTATGCTTCACTGAGTTCATTCTCACATCTTAAAGATCCTCCTGAGATCCCAGGATTTATTAATCAAAGTTTACAAGGTTGTATTGAGACTGTTAGAGTCTGAAGAGTCCTGCTGCCACCGTTCAGACATTAAACCGTCACGTGTTTAGTTCTCAGATGACACTCGGAAAAATTTCATCTCCTTCATGTCGACATAAAAAGAAGCTGCTGAGAATTTAAACCCGACCCGTATCTTTGTGTGTTTCTGGGTCTGACCTGTCGGGATTCGTCGTCGGGGAAGTCGTCGTCACACAACCAGATTCCCAACGAGGTTCTCTGAAACTCTGCAGCCACCAGAGCATAGAACTCCAG